TTTCTCTTGCATTGCTCTCAGCAGTGCATGTTTCATACATCTCTCAGCTGGCAATGAGATTTCTTCTGCCTCTAGGAGGGGTCCTTTTGAGCCTGGCAGAGTGGCAAACTAACCGATTCAATTAATTCTATACACCTGGGAGAGAGTTAACTTCCCAGAAAATTACTTTGTGCTACTTGCAACAGAAATACCCCAAGTAGATAACTTTAACAATCAGGAGCTACTTAGCAAATTCCACTATGGAGTTTACAAAGACTTAGGGCTAGAAAAGCCATACTGTATAATTTACTACACCACAGATGCATTGTTCTATTTACATTAGTATTTCTTATTTCTTAGATGTTCATAATTTACACTTGTCATTTAACTTTTTTGGTTATGACTTTTTCAAATACTGCTTTTGCCCAGTCTCTCTGTACTCTCCTTCTGGGACTCTAATTACATGTATGTTGCACTGTTTAAAAGTATCTCACAGTGATTTAAAAAAAGAAAAACCAACAAACTAGAAAATAGCTGTTGTTGGTGAAGATGTGGAGGAACTAGACCCCTCAGCCATTGCTGATGGAATGTAAAATGGTACAGCTACTATGGAAAAGAGTTTGTTGGTACCTCAAAAAGTTGACCTATGTACATAGAACTACAGTATGATCCAGTAATTTCAACCCCAGGTATATATCCAGAAGAAGGGAAGGCAGGAAAGCAAATAGAAACCTGTAAAATAATATTCATTGTATCATTTTTCACAATAACCAAAAGGAAGCAACTGAAATGTCCATCAACAGATGAATGGATAAACAAAATACATATACACATAATGGAATACTATCAGCCATAAAGAGAAATGAAGTCCTAATGTGTGTAGTGATATGCGTGTACCATAAAGACATCATGCTGAGTGAAATAAGTCAGTAACAAAAGGACAAATACTGTATGATGTCACTTATATGAAATAAGCACATATATAGAAAACAAAGATTATTAGCAGTTATCAAAGGTGGGCAGAAGGGGAAAAGAGTTTTTGCTTAAGTGGCCATGAGTTAATGGTGGTGGAATGTCTTGGAAAAGACGAGTGAGAATGATTGCACAACTTGAAGAATGTAATCAGTGTCATTGAATTGTACATGTAGAAATTGTTGAGACAGTGTATGTTTGTTACATATATTTTCTCTACATTTTTTTTTTAAAGTTCCCCACAGGTATCTTACACACTGTTTGAAAAAATTCTTTTTACTCTCTGCTTCAGTTTGGATGACTTTTTATTGATTTATAATCAAGTTCTCTAATCCTCTTCTGCTCTATCCAGTCTGCTATTAAATCTGTCTGGCAATGAGTTTTTCATTGCAGATATTGTACTTTATAATTCTAGAATGTCTACTTGGTTATCTTTATAGATTCTATTTCTGTGTTGAAATTCTTCTTTCTCTACTATACATTTTCCCCCGCTTTTTCCTCTATTTTCTTCCACATATTTATAGTCAGAGCTCTTGTCTGTTAATTCTAAAACTTCATTATCTGCGAGTCTGCTTCGGTGAACTGGATTTTCTCTTGATTATAAGTCACATTTTCCTGCTTCTTTGCGTATCTTAAAAGTTTTACTTTCATGCCAGACAGTGTATATAAATAGAATGTAGAGAATGAAGTTGATGTTTCCCTCTGGAGGAAGCATGCTCTTCCCTGTTACATATTTGGATTACCACTTGATCACATTAGTCCAGTCAGCAGTTAAACTAGGTTGGGGCAGTGTTACAGTTTTCGATAGACTTAGTTCACTCTGGGTTTCAAATTTCTTGATAAGAAGAACTGTCCTATTTTGATTGCAGGCCCCTCTGTCCATTGAGACTGTCTTTGGGTCATTTGGATTGATTTCATTGTGCCTTTCCTGCATGGTCTCATATACTACCCCAGCACTCAGCAGAAGGTCTATAGGGGAAAACCAGATACACATTCTGGGCTCCTCCATATTCTTATCTATCACACTAGCCCTATTTGGCCATAAAGAAAACTCTTCTGGTTTCTCTTTCCCTAAGCAGAGTACCTTTGTCTATGGCAAACATCAGCCTAAGTCCATGCCCAGACTCGGCAAATTCTCCTAGGAGAAAAAAGCCTCTTCCTTTTATGCGATTTAAATTCTCTATACTTTTATGTATCCACAGCTCTCTGATGACTTTTTTTTTTCCTCCAAATATATGATTTTTGTAATTTATTTTTCTTTTCCTAGTTATTATGGTGGGAGCAGTATTCTGCCCCTCCTTAGGCTTCTGTCAAAACTGGAAGCAGAAGTTCTTTACCATATAACTTTTTGATATATGCATAGATACATATTTCTTCATATAAGAAGAATTTCCAGCAAAAGTTATAGAGCATTTCATAAAATTTCCTGATTATCCAGCTTTTAATTTTCCTTAAGTAATACATATGCTATGTGATTATTCTGTGTTCACAAGATTGCACTTGTCACAGAGAAGTAATCATTTAAATTTTCTCTACTTGGCAAATGCAGGTGCACCTGTTGCTGATCGGGAGGCCAGTCTGGAATTAATTAAGCTGGACATTTCCCGCACTTTTCCATCTCTCTACATCTTTCAGAAGGTGAGGGTTTCTGACCAGCTTATAGCTATGGTTGTGTTTTTTAAAAAAGGCAAAGCTATTAAAATTAGGCAACTTGATATATTAAAAAAAGTGAAGCTAGTAGGAAGGAAAAAGGTAAAAGAATTTATATTATTTTATTCCACTGACACTGCAGTTAGCATAGCACACATGCCTTTTATGTAGTATACTTGATGAATTTTCAATAAAATTATTTTTTTTGTTTTATTTTGCCTAGTAAATCATTAAAATATGAAGAATTTTGTCCACAAATTTAAATGTTTTCAATACCTACCTTACAGAACTGCCACTGAAAAAGGAACAGTTTTTTTCTTTTTTTGTGTGTATCGAGGCTGTTAGGAAGTTGCTTATACTTCAGGAGGAAAGATTACATTTATATGTACTTTATACATGTAATTCCTATCTTTAGATTGATAAAGTAGAATGAGATAAAACTTTTTACTGTTAAGATTAAAATGATTAATATAGCTTATTATAATAGCTTGATGGTTGTCTTTTGCTAAAATTGCATTATATAAAATGAAATAGCCTCTTGTATTGTGCTGAAGGGAAAGGTCTTCAAAACTGGACACAAACTATATAGATTGTATCCATCAAGTAAGTTTGGCTTTTCTGTTGCTGTTGTTGTAGGAGTAAATAATTTTTATTAATACCTCAGATAACATCTTGATAGTGTATTTAGGATATTTTTGACAATTGTTAAATACACTAACTAAAACGAGTAGTCATTTAGGAAATGCTTGAACTTATTAACATTAATCATTATTCTAATGATTATTTGTATAGTTTCAAATTGCATTTTTTTCTCCTAAGGGCGGCCCATATCATGATGTCTTACATAGTATTTTAGGGGCATATACATGTTACAGACCTGATGTTGGCTATGTAAGTATTTGTTTCTGTCTGCTTTTTTTCTCAAATATAAATATTTTATCCCTACTTTTATCAAAGTATCATAATCTTGTATTATCTCCCAAATGTCTATATTGCTATGTCTCTTTTTACTTGAGTCTATTGATTTACCTAGAGTATCAGTCTTCCAATCTCCTGCCAGGGGCTATTAGAAAAATAAGATTTATGATAAGGTTTAAAATAAGATTTTATAATAAGATTATAAGATTGGCTGCCAGCTTTTTGGGAGGGCAGCTGGAGATTTCACCATTCAGTTTGTAAGCTTTTTGAAGTACTCCTCTTATCAGTGTGATGCCTTGTCCCCGACCCCTTCCCAACCCCACTATCCCTGACTGCCTTTAGAGAATACACCTCTTATGTTCTGCCAGGTTGAGGGAGAGATAGGCACCTACCCATACAGGATAGGGGGTAGGATTTGTTCCTTTTTCAGAGTTTCAGTCAATTCTGTTCTTTAGCCCTTCCCTTCAATTTCAGAAGTCCCTGATAACTTCAGCTCTTGGGCCTTCCAGGGCTTTGTGGCTGGGATTGGCTTGCTGCTTATTGTCTTCCTTCTCTGCAGATACTTGAGTATCAGCATTCTCCACTTTAAACTAAAAATTCCAAAATGTGCTTGACATCTGTTATCTATGATTTATTTCCTGTCCCATTTTGTTTGTCCTTCTGGGTTAATATTATTATTTTTTCTTTATTGTCATTTTAGTTAGATTTTGGGAGGGAACAAAGAAAAAAATGTGTGTTCAGTTTGCCATGTATAACTAGAAATCAGGAAACTTTCATCTTCTCACCTTTACCTTAAAATAGAGAAATTTTAGAGAGTTCACTATAGGGTAGCTGGCTGGTACAATTCACTTTATTTTGTTGTGTGTTCATTCATTCATATACTCAACAGGTATTTATTATGTTCTTATTACTATATATATGGAGCTCTGGTGGTGTAGTGGTTAAGGCATTTGGCTGTTAACCAGAATGTTGGCAGTCGAACCCTTCAGCCATTCCACAGAAGAAAAATGAAGCAGTCTGCTTCTGTAAAGATTTATAGCCTTGGACATCCAATGGGGGTTGCTATGAGTCAGAATCAACCTGATGGCAGTGAGTTTTTGAGTGTTACTATATATAAGAAGGGAGCTCTGGTAGCATAGTGCCTAAGGCACTTGACTGCTAACCAGAAGGCTGGCTGTTCAAACCCACCAGCCACTCCTTAGAAGAAAGGTTGGGCAATCTACTTTGGTAGTGATATCGCCTCAGAAACTCAAGGAGGGGTCGCTATGAGTCGGGTCCGACTTGATAGCACATAACAACAACAATATTTAAGGAGCTCTGGTAGTATAGTGGTAAATCACTCACTGCTAACCAGAAGTCAGCGGTTCAAACCTGCCCGCTGCTCTGAGAAAGATGAGGCAATATACTTCTATAAAGATTTACAACCTTGGAAACCCTATGGGGCAGTTCTACTCTCCCCTAAAGGATTGTTTTGAGTTGGAATCAACTCAGTGGCAGTGGGCATTACTATATATACCCAGGCATTGTTCTAGGTACTTGGGCTCAGTAAACAAAAATAACTTTCTCCCATTATGGTTCTTAAAATTTAGAAAGCGGATACAGACAATAAACAATAAACATAAAAATTAGTAACCCACAGGAAGCCACATATTATATTAAAAGGAGATAAGTGCTATGGAAAACATGTAGCATGGTAAAGGGGGAAAGTGTTAAGATTAGGGGTGGGGCAAGCTGCAATATTATAGAGGGTAGTCAGATAGTCTTCATGGAGAAGGTGAGATTTGAGCAGGGGCTTTTCTTCAAGCTCTGCTGCTTATGTACTCTGCAAAAGAACTGTAAAACTCTGCATCTCCTTCACATTTTATATTGGCTTTTAAATTTTTCATAAGATTTAATAATTACAAAATATTTCATTTTTAGCACTTGTTAAATATTGACACTTTAAATTAAAAATCATGTTACTTTTTAGAAAGTACCCAATGAAATTTCATGTAGACCTTCCATTTTAAAAATATATATAAGCTCTTCATTAGTCTTTCACATACTTGCTTTTTTCCTCTGAACTTACATTTCTATTTCATTTCTCCCACAGAATTTTATTGTAATATATCTTTGCTTGAAAGTCTTTTAATGATCACCTTCGTGTACTTTTTCTGACTAATGGTGACCTCATCTGTGTGGAACACAGCCACACTTCATAGGGTTTTCAATGGCTGTGACTTTTTCAAAGCAGATTGTCAGGCCTTTCTTCCTAGGTACCTCTGAGAGGGTTTGAACTGGTAACCTTTAACTTTTCAGTTAGTAGCTGAGTACTTGACTGTTTGTGTCACACAGGAACTCTATAAATATATAAATGAATTAAAGTTTAAAAATCAGTTTTATTTCTGGTGCCATAATGTTCTAAATATTAAAAGTTTTTTTCTGATTTGTGTTGTTATTTTAATTTTTAGTGCACAACTGATCAAAACAACAAATAGAGAAATCAGATAAACAATAAATACAGAAATGAAAAATGATTTTTTTCAAATGATCTCAGGTCCTCCTCCAGTTTTATTAAAATCCAAAGATTGCTAGCTACCTGCATTGCAAAAACATTATTACCAATCATTAAAATCATTCATCTTCTGTTTCAGGAGAGTGAATAAAGAAGGGCCTTTATTGAGACTAAAACCTATTACTTCTACCCTTTACACTTCCACTCAAGAGGTACCCTGTTTAACCTGATAATACACAGAAAAAGTTGGGAAAATGAAAATACTGTTGCTGTTATTACACTTTTGACAATGATAATTTTTATAATATGTTCTAATTGTATTCTTTTAATACATATTTTACCCTGGAGCTGCAGACTGTTTAGCTATTATAAACTATGTATGTATGGAAAAACATATTTTAGGATGTGATTTGATTAAACAGGTTTTTGACTACCTTACTGACTAAACCAAAATCAAAAACCCACTGCCATCGAGTTGATTCTGACTCATAGCAAATTACTCCATAGTGCTTGCAAGGCTGTAAATCTTTACATAAGCAGACTCCACTTTTCGCTCCCATGGAGCGGCTGGTGGGTTCAAACCACTGACTTTTTGGTTAGCAACCAAGTGCTTTAACTGCTGCACCACCAGGGTTCCTCCTTAATGAATAACATGTGCTGAATCTATAAATAAATTGCACAAAAGTTTAATCTGTGGATTTTATTCAGTGTATCTTAGAAAAAATAATTATTAATCTTGGTTTACATTCCAGTTATAGTAAAAAGAACCAGTAGCACCAATATTTACTGCTTTTTCCATTCTCTTTATTGTTCTCTTGGGACTTTCCCTGAAAGGCTATGCATTCTTTGATAATAGATATGGTATGGAAGAGGTGAGATCACTAAATAAAAATTGTTATTACTACTCTCCATTCTACCATATACAGGCATACCTCGTTCTGTTGAGCTTTGCTTTATTGTGCTTCACAGATACTGCATTATTTAAAAATTGAAGGTTTGTAACTATCCTGTATTGAGCAAGTCCCTTGGCACCATTTTTCCAATTGCATATGCTCACTTCATGTCTCTTTGTCACATTTTGGTAATTTTCACAATATTACAAACTTTCAGAATGCTATTGCACACTCAGTAGACTGTCAAGCCCCAAGCCCACTGCCATCGAGTTAGGTCCAACTCACAGTGACCCTCGTTGCATATCCAAGGCTGTAAATCTTTGCAGAATTAAAGATCTTCCTCCCATGGAGCAGCTGGTGGGTTTGAACCACCAACCTTCTGCTTAATAGTCAAATGCCTTATACACTATGCCACCAGAGCTACTTTAATAGACTACAGTATAGTGGTGGTCTGGAACCAAATCAGCAATATCTCTGAGGTATGCCAGTAATGGAATTCAGTTTTATATACCATATTTTTATAAAATAATGAGTGTTACATGGTTTTTGCACACTGCAGAACCCCTCTCACATTAGTTTCCTACATGTGTTATATGCATATGTGTGTTATTTTGGTGGGTGTGTTATATATGAAAAATATGGTATATGTGAATGACAGGAAACCAGAAGCTTTCCCCAAACCAATATTTACAACCACCCCTTGTTTCTGGTTTCATGCCTCAGAGTAATTTGCCATAGCAAGTTCTGGAATGGGTGAGGATTATGACTTTCACTTGCTACTGTGAGGGTAGTAACATTCTCAGGCACATCATTGGGAAAGAAAGCATATGTAAGTTGAAGATTTAGAAGTGAATTTCCTTAAAATTATTCATTCCAGTGTACTCTTTGAAAAGTCTTTATGTATCTTCAAAGGTACATTTATCCCAGTTTTAAGACTACCATCTTTAAATTAACTGAGTTATTAGTTTTCACTAATAAGAAAATAGTTATAGGTCACTTTTGTGTAGAGCAAAAATCTTTGGAGACTAAGCAGGAGAGAGGCCCTTCGAGTATTTTGCTTACTGCTACCTCTCCTTTTGCCTCTGTGCCTATTTCTTAATGCTTTGGTTGTGATTTGCATAGATGACTCCCTCATCTGGCCTTCAGTCTTCAGCCCAACATCTCCATCTTCTTATAGGACATACCCACTTGTGTATCCAGTAACTATAAACACTTTGGAGGAGTCTTTATCATTTTTCAGTATCTGAGTTCCAACCTCATTCTAATATCTGTGACTGATTCCATCATTTGTACGGTTATCAAGACTCACCCGCTTATTATCACTTATTCTTTTCTCTCATTTTAGTGACATATTGATAAATCCAGTTAATTCTTACTTTAAGAATTAATGCTTTCCATTTGCTCTGTAAACTTTCACCCAAATCACAATAAAAATTTTTTAAAAATTAATGCTTTCTGGTGGCATTATGAAAAAATACTAGACTTTAGTAGCAGGCAGATTTGATGAGTTGAAACAAACGCTACTAGTCATGAGTTTTGTGATATTTGGATGATTATTTGATGATTACTTTTCAGAGTTCCTTTTCCCATTTGTAAAATGGAGATAATACTACCTCATATTATCATTTGGATAAAGAATTGTGTGGTACCTCATATGTAGTAAAGAATCAACATATGATAGCTGTCTCATTGACTCAGAGATGCACATTGGAAAACATTTTGCCATCTCTGAAATGGGAATGCATGTTATAGTCATCAGTCAGGCAGCAGTTGAGACATGGCTATGTTGCCTGTACAAACACATCACTATTTGCAGATTAGTTGTCAGTGGCTTGGAAGAAAATCTAAGAATTATTAATAGAGCAGTTTGAAGAAATTAGTGCTTTTGTTCACATTAAGAAAGAAGAGAAAAACATAAACATTATGACTAAGTCAATAAATAATACAGAATATTCAGAGGAATTGGACTCAGAAGAAATTGTAGAAATAACTTCTTTTATTTTTCTTAGTTTCCTTTCATGTATACAGAAGAGTGATACATGGTAAATCTGAATGAGCTTTACATAACTCTTGAGTATACGTAAGATAAAAACTCTTAAGTGATAAAGCAGCCTTATACCCTCATTTAATGGACAGGACTTTTTTCTTTTTTAGTGATACATAAAATAATGATGTAGACAAATAAAATAATGATGTGTCTTATAATGAACAGCATCTTAAATTCAATTAAGTATAGGTTTAATCTCTTCTGTTTGCTATACTATCATTCGGTTACAGATGGTTAATGCATTGACCCTTCATCCACTCACCAAATATTGTAGTATTAAGAATACAGTGATGAAGTAGATAAGATACGGTCTCTGTGTTCATTTCCTATTGTTGCTGTAGTATATTATCACAAACTTAGTGGCTTTAGACAATGCAAATTTATTATTTTACAGTTCTGGATCTCACGGGTCCAACCTGGATTGCACTGGTCTCAAGTCAAGGTGTTGGCAGGGTAGCGTTCCCTCTGGAGGCTCTAGGGGAGAAGCTATTTCCTTGCCTCTTCCAGCTTCTAAAGGGCACTTGCCTCGTTTGCCACATAAACCTCTGCCTTCATCTTCAAGGCTAGCAATGTAGCATCTTGAAATCTCTCTCTGATCTCCTCCCTCCCTCTTATAAGGACCCACCCTGATAAAACAGGAGAATCACTCCATCTCAAGATCCTTAAATTAATCCCTTCACCAAAACCCCTTTTGCCATGTAAGGTGGCAAGTTTCTGGGGTCTGAGGATTAGAATGTGGATATCATCTTTGGGGGAGGAGGGTATTCTCTGCCTGCCAAAGTCTCTGTCCTCATGTAGTTTATATTCTAGAAAATCAAATAGGTAATTAGTGTAGAATCTGCAAAGAGCACTGAGAAAAAGCCAGAAAAGTAGGAGGAAAATCAAGAGATATTGGATCACAGAAACTAAGGAAATTTTGCCAGCAGGGTTGGAAAGCACACATTGGTTTTTGCACTAAATGTCATTGATGATCCTGGCAAGAGAAATTTCAACATAGTGATAGTGTAGGAAGCCAGACTGAAGTATGGTAAAGAGTAAAAACTCAAAAGCAAAACCATTGCTGTCAAGTCTGTTTTGACTAATGTCAACCCATGTGTTACAGAGTAGAACTGCTCCACAGGGTTTGCATGGCTGTGGTCTTTATGGAAGCAGATAACCAGGCCTTTCTTCCGTGGTGCCATTGGGTGGGTTCAAATTGCCTACCTTTTTGTTAGAAAGAGTAAAAAAGGAGTTGAAAAAAATAGAAATAGTGATTGTAGGCAACTGTTGCAAAACATTTGGCTTGAAAGAGCCCAGTATACCAATCTCTGCTGT